TTGTCTTCCATTTCTAAATGGCTGACTAGCACTCATTTTTAATGTTCTTAAGAATAGCCACCAGATTATCTGGGGAGAACAGGACTAGAGGACATAAAATTGATTAGCTACACTACATCCCTTCCTCCAACAACTGCAGCTTTCTTTAAAAAGCTACAGCAGTATTGAAATGTTAACAGGTTTACTGTCAGAGCAGTTTGCCAAACTTGCTTCTCGACATCTGTCACTGTGCATAACAAATCCACATTTTAATGGTGAAGGAAGGGCTGTTGAGAGAAAAAGCAGAAGCTCTTTAAAGCAAAACGGTGCCAAGATCAGGATAATCATAAATATTGCATGAACAATTACAAAGATATCAGCAGACATAGAACTTAATATTGAGATTTACACATGAATGCTTGAATGAGCATTTTAAATCTTCAACACTTCATAATAAAATTCAAAGCCAAAGGTCACGCTGATCACCTCCAAACAAAGGTAATCACACTGCATCAATGTGCATACAGACACTGAAATCACATGTGTAAATAAAATACAACAGCTAATTCTCACACTTGGACACAGTAGGGACTGCAGATGCAGGAAGCTAGAGTCAATGAAGGTGGAGCTGGAAAAGCACTGCCGGTCAGACAGCATCCAAGGAGCATGAAAGTCAACGTTTCAGGCCAAAACCCTTCATCAGGACTCAGTCTCAAATTCTCATAACTGGGATGATCTCCTAAAATGTATGCCACTGTAAACGATTTAATTGTCCACTTGTGCTGAGGCTCACTTGAAGATGCTAAATGCGCACCAGAACTGCTTGTGCGTTGTTGCACAAAAATTGCAAATATGGATTTAAGCATTTTTTGGATGTGTAAATCCACTGTACTGCCTGTAAAACCAATCAAAATGTCCATTTGTGACTGTCTGTCTGTCATCACAACGTTTTGCCAATATCACTGTAAAATTCATATATGTTAACAATGTTGAATGTGCTGTGATGGTGCACAGCTTAAGCTAAGAAGCCAGTTTTTCACAGTCAGACAGAAATGAATGACCAGGTCCTAAGTACCACTGAGGACAGTTGTTCAGCTTTTGTAAGCAGCCACTGCTCATTGTTAGAGAAACACAGTTTTGCTCTTGTTCTAATTGGGTATTTCTACCTTTAACAGCAGCAGTGTCAATCCACATGCATTAGAGCATTGCATAAATTGACAATAGCATAATTGATAGCAAAGATGTCAGTAAAAATTGGGTGTGGGATGGTTTTCTCCTCTGATCGACAACAGCAACAACAAGCTACTGCTAGAATTCTATCAACAAACATCACTAAACATAGGATAACTTATTTATTGCTATTTATGCCACTGCTGCTTGTAAAGTTTTCTTATGCAAAAAATGAATGTCTACCTGACTCGCGCAACTGTATTCCAAAGTAATTCACTGTACATAAAGAACTTTCAGGCATTTCTCACCTACAGCACTATGTAAACACAAATCCTCTATCCCACTAAACTACAGCAATCACAGGGACGGCCTCACAGACCAAAACAATTTTTCCAAGTTATAAACTTTTCTTCAAGATGAGAGTGTTTCATATTTAGTAACCTAGGCTGAAGCTCGCGATATTTTAGCAATGTAATGTTTTCATTGAATTTTAATGGAAGGTTTCTCTTTGTGAGGCCTTGCAAGTTTTCTTGTGCTATTGTGCCAAACTCATCTTGTTCACTATATACCATGGCCCTATGGCACTCCTCTTGGCTGACGCTACCTGGCCCTCTCATTTGTCACAGCTGATAGTACTCGCCACTGCTGCAATACCCTGGGATTCCTGGTGCTGGCGTTATATTTAAAATGTTTTCGGGCACGAAGTCAAGTGCTGGTGGATATTTCACCTGGACGTGGCAGACAAGAAGAAATTAGCACCTCTTTTTGCCAACAGAGACTTGGAAATCCTTTTGGATGGGGTGGTAAAGAGAAGGGGTTTTCTCTTCCCAAAGAACTGGCAAGAGGAGACCATGACACCATCCCTGGCAGCCTGGTCAGTGTGGTCTCAGCCATCTAAAGGAAGGCGCAGCATTGTTAGGAAGAAGGATGAGGACTTTCACCACTCCAAAAGGTAGGTGCTACCGACTTCTCTCTGCCAAATCAAACTCGCTTTTCCTCTGCTACTGTACCCACTGCACCCTGCTCTACTGCTGTCAATGTTGCCTGCAACACCTTCTGTCACTCGCTGTCACTATTCACTCCCAACCCAGTTCTCCCAGACCACTAATCCTTCATGGCCTCTGCACCACCCACTCACTCAGGGCACCTCGCCAACTTTCTCCCACTTGCACAGGCACTAATAGCTGTGCCACCCACTTTCATTTCACTCAATCCATCCCTTTCCCTCATTTGACAATAGGGCAGGAAGAGTCAAGATGGGTGATGGGGTGCCCAGCATTCCCTACAAGGGGAGAGGCCTGACCCTGACAGCCCTGAGTGGCCAAATGTCCATGCCCAAATCCCTGGACTGAAAGCAGAGGCTGCCCTGAACTTATTGTGCAGAACTCCCTATTGGGTCTCTCCCTCAACCTGACTGAGGTCTATCTCTCTTAAACTTGGAGGCACAGTCATTTGCTTCCAATACAATACACTTGCCACATACATTGATGGCATAAGGTGCCATACAGCAACATGACCACCTCCTTGACTGATTACTACTGACAACCATGGCAAGTTTCCTGGCTAGGTATCTGTGTTAAAAAGCAAGTGGAAACAGATGTACTTTTGCTGGCACAGGTGGAATGCATGTGCACAGACACTGCCCGGAAGGGTGCCATGAGGCATTGGTGCCCGGTGTCCTAGATGGAAGTCCAGAGGAATAAGCAGCAAGCAGGAGTCGTCGGTGCCCGCTCTGACATTCATGTTGGCAGTTCTTGGCATCTAGTTTCTATCCAGCATGAGGTAGAATAGGAATGTGTATACTAATAGGGTGAGATTAGGTATTAATTTGGGTGATAATAAGCAATAATCCCTGTTAATAAACTTCTCGCTGCTCATTAGCAAGAGTCTCATCCCGATATTCAGACCTCAGTTGGAAAATATAACTGGTTGCTCCTAACATCAAGGAAGGCCTTGCTGAATTTCTCACAAAAGTTTCCCAAGTAACAGCCCTAGTCATTCAGGGCCTGGGAAGATTGGGCCCATAGTCTTCTTTCACAACATTTCCCCTTTAGTCGCCACACACACACACTCACATACACACACTGGATATGATTTTGACTTGCCATTCGTCCAGCATGTGATCATGTACTGATCATCACTCTAGTCACTTCAATAATAGGTATATTTCTGAGCACTTTGTGAATAAGAGACAAAACATTTAAACAAAACCCAACTGGTAAGCAGTTCCCCAGTAATCAGTAACTCACATACAGCCTGTAAAAATGGACAAAGTCATCCAGACCATTGTGGCCAGAAAACATGGTCAGCTCAAACTTAACATCTGATTTAGTTGACCACATTGTCAGTATTGGTGACGATGGAATCCAGCATTTTAATTAATGCATGCTTTAATTTCTACATCATCTGGAGATCATCTGAAGGCCATTAACACTGGGATTATCATAAGTGACAGCTCAATAAACTAAAAACTTCATCAACTGAAATTAAAAGTTATTTTTGGAGGAAAGATATTAAATCATGATAACATTCAGTGAAAAAGTGCGAAATTATTTTGTGATTTTCACAATCAGCCATTTTAAGATTGTCAGCAAGAGAACTACAATTGAGATAAAGAAAAAGTTCTTTACTCAAAGAGTTGTTAGGATTTGGAATGCACTGCCAGGGAGAATGGTGGAGGTGGATTTTATACAAGGTTTCAAAAGAGAGCTGGATATATATTTGAAAGTGATGCAGTTAGAGAGCTACGGAGATCTGAGGGCTGGAGAGTGTGATGAGCTGGGTAGCTTTTTCAGGAGCAAGTACAGACACGATGGGTCGAATGGCCTCCTTCTGTACTGTAAAATTCTATGATTCTATGATTCTACTTTGGTAGAAGTACACAGCAAGGAATAATGAAAAAGAAAATTGTTTTTAAACAAAGGTTTCATAATAATGCTTGACTACTATCTATTTTAAATGTTGAACAACTGAAAAAAAATTGAGTCCACATCAGCAAGGCTAAAATTGCGCAAATTTAATTAGAAAGTGTAAACCATGAAGTATTCACAACCTTCACCATCTATATTGATTTGATGTGTTTTGGTCTATGAGGAGTAAGGTAATGAACTTCTACAAATGTTGGGAAAGTATTTCTTAAGAGTTTAGGTACCTGCTCCTGTTGTCTCTAAATTCCTGATGAGCAACTACATTAAGCGAAGCTCTGTCCTGTGGACATCAGCATCTAAAATTATCCCTATTAAATGTGTGTGACTATGTGTGTGTCTGTATGTTCCGGACCCCCTATAGATACTAGCACACTCCCAGGGACACCGCCCTAGCTTCTGAAATATGGTGTCAACCACTGGGAAGAAAACAACAATCATTGAAAAAGATTGTGAAACATGATGACCTTGGGGATCTCAGTTTGAAAATTTTCACTGCAAAACGGCAATAGGTTGATTTATGTGCATTAATCAACACCAATGTTTGTGTATTAAACTGACTGCCCAGCTTTTTCAACAGAGCATGCAATGAATTCATGTTACTGTAACGAGAGTTGGCTCGAGCTGCCAAAACTGCATGCAATTGGTTCCCCATCTGTCTTCAGTCCAGAGAACATATGAATGACAGATCTCTCTCTGTTTAACACCTTGATCCAGTTGGTATTTCCTAGAGTTGACTGCAGCCACAACAGCCTCATTCATAACATACAGCCCAAATCCTGGCTTTGCTGATGTTACACAGAAAGGGAAGGAAAAAAGACCCCACTGCGCATCACCTCCTTCAATCCAAAACACCATAAAATGTTATTTGCTCAATTTTATAAACAGAATGAAAAAGGGTAATCAGCTGAGTCATACTGTACTTACAGTTTTCAGACTGGAAATCTGGCACAAACTGTTCATCATTGTCAGGGACTTGAGCTGTTGAAAAGGAGAAAAAAAAAAGGAAAATGTGTGAAAATACTGAATGTTAAACAAAAGCTTTTGATTTATTCTGAATTCCAACATTTTGTCAAAGCCACTCACATTTCCTTTCAATAATCAGCAGTATATTTGACATGGTGAGTTGGTCCTACAAAAACATCCGCAGCCCAAAGAACTGCAAATCCACCATTAAATAAAACCCATTTTAGCAAACAAATCAGCCTTTAACATATTTGCCAGAGAAGACGCTGAGATTTAACTTCCCTGTGATACCAGAGAAAGAGTTTATTCTTTGCACATGCAATGATCTTACACAATCGTAAGATGAAATATGAAGGAGTCAGCTTTATGTAATTTCTGATATATTCTGACGCTTGAACCAAAAACAGAAAAGCTTGTAAAAAGTCATATCCATTATAAAGGTCCTTCCAGTAGAGATTGTGGAGGATTTGGTTTTGTTTTAAATGCCGTATTTAAAAGCGCAAACAATCAATGCAAGGCATACTTAAGATATAAACGGGGTGGAAGAGAGTACAAAGACTACAATAGAACAGAAACAGAAAATAACAGCAGGGAATGACCTTCAAAGTTATAATTTAGATGACAACTTTAAATATTGGGATCCAAATTATAATTAAAATGTTTTAGAAATATATATATATTCTTTATATATATGACAACTTTAAATGTTACCCTTCATATTCTTTGGTTACTTTGTACACCAAGCTGTGATGTGGAATACATATCATTTCATTTATTCAAATTTTCAACAGGCACATTCAGCATGATTTCAGAATTGAGACAGGAATTGTCGAAGGGAAGACTCCAGTTTTTGCTGTGTTTTGCAATATTCAGTTTGAAGGATGACAGCATTAAGAGGTATTATGGTAGTGAGGTTTCATTTTTGTTACGGTAGTGAGGTTTCATTTTTGGTGGAACTTTGATGCCAAGCAGATTGTTATTGATAATTCAACTGAGAGTAAAGTGGAAAATGTAAAGCCGAGGCTCTGTTCATCATGGACTACATCCGGGTGAAAAAAGGGATTCAACTATTTAGATTTAGACCATATTTGCTACAGCAAGGTCAAAAAGCAGAAATGTTTTAATAGTATCAACACTAACTGTACAATCTCTTCAAGGAGCTAGCTTTTGACTTTCTATGACAACAATACAAAACAAACGAGTGAATTGACAGCTCCTTTTATAATTTTTGATTAAAAATTAGGAGAAATATACAACAGACTGCCAGTTCACTATTACCCACTTTACACTGTTTTATAAAGTCAACAAGTATCCAAAAGTGTGGTCAATATTTGCTACTATATTTTGATTACTCAGAAAACCTTACTAATTTAAAACTCCACAATCCCTGTTCTTGTTCCCCAAATTTTAAAGAGTTTAACAACTCAGTTTTGATTTCATAGGTTCTTACACGTATAAAGATTCTTAATGCTTTTATTTGAATCAACATAAATAGCGCAGAGCAGCGATTTACTCTGACTCCAGCGTTTTGGCTAGTCTTTCATCAAAGTGCAAATATCATGAGAACTGCACAGAAATTCTCCACCACTTTCCTTTTTCTTTCAAACATGTTGACACATGCAAATCTCTTGGACAATCATCCTTTCCATTTCTTATATCATTTTGGAAACATTTCGGACTGTGCAAGTAAAGAAAAACAAAATAGCAAAATGTATGACACAGAAGGCAATTTGGTTGATTATATCTGAATGAATGAATGATGCACCAGTCGTTGAAGAGCTACCCAACTCTAACCAACTTGCTCCACTAGACCCCTCGTCCTGCAGATCATGGAAGCAATGTACGCCTGCTGCTGCATTATGCTTTGAATTGTGTTTAAAGAATTCAGTAAGAATTTGCCAGGGAATGCTATGAGAATGAGACATGGTTTGGTATTCTGCTAAGCCTTATCATAATTTTCCATCACCCTCATGACCTCTGTTTAAATTTTCACTGTGATCCCAAGAATTGAGCTAATTTCAGTCTATCAGAATTGGTATCAAAACAAGCAGCAACTGTCGAAACAATCTGGATAGATCTGTACATGAGATCAATTTAATTCAGATCTATTAAATGTTATGATTACACTTTTAAACAGTACATAATTTTGGTATTGAACCAAACCGATGTTAAACATATTTTGTAAGTAATAATTCATGAAGAGAAACACACCAAGAAAAGAGCAGTATTAATGTACAAATGGGAGAATTAATTGGAGAACATTTAAAATTAAATCACAGAATGTTATTCAGTGGGTTCAGCATGCTGCTCAGATACTGCTTTTCATCAGAGAAAACTGCACACTCCTTGATAACCCTAGGAGGTAATTTTAGAGAGCTTATCTAAATCATACAGAACAAAAAAGTCTCAAGATCAATCCACAATCTTTGTAGAGTTAGTGGAAATCAGCTAGTAAAATGTCAAAGTTTAGTTAGCCTCAATGCACCAAGAAGAGAAGTGAACATCTACTTCAGCATTGTCCAGTGAGGCTTGTGGACATCAGGTCAAGACAGGTTTTTACTTATGACCCCTGTGGTTGAATAGCTATGGACACTATCTGTCAAGTTTCACAAGTCAATAATAGCTGACTCAGCAAACTGCTACACAGGGTATCATATCCCGGCAGAGAGGTGATTACTGTGGGAAAATATGAGAAAATCGAAAAAGAAAGTTTTACCAACCTAACAATTTACTTCCTACAGTTTGCGAGGAGGTGAGCCCACTGTCAGCACATACAAGGAATCTAGGCGCACACTGGTTATTGACCATCTAAATTGGCGTGCACCTATATTTCTGATATGGACCTCCTAGAAAGCTACAGTCGCCAAATGAGCAAATTAGCCAGCTCATTTTTGCTGTAATAATATTTTTAAAATCAACAGAAAATTTGTGGAATTTTATAAACAATTTCTGAAATAACCTTTTTACTTTTTTTTTACTCAATGTGGCTGACCACATTCTGGTACAAATATAGACATTCAATGACAACCACCGAGCATTTAAAGTAAATGACCCAGTTCATTTAGGTTGATCAGCAATTTCTTATAACTGCTGATGCAAACTGTAGACAGGGCATCAAGGAAATGGCACAAGATGCATTGGCCTCTTTAAGAATAGTAGCATCTGAATATCAAAAGTAAAGATAGGTCACTATGATCTGGTTTGAAATTAACATTGACTTTAAAATGAAAATTGCTTACCCTGACATTACTAGACAAAGAGGATTTGGACATTAAAGCTTAAAAATCTCAAAGCTTTTGCCACAATGGAGTAAAAACAGGCACCTAATTCTCCCTCCATCGGTAAAACTCCGTAACATAAGAGACCAAAGTTGTGGAAATGAACGGATTCACATTCCGCAAAAATGTGAAACTGCATGATACTCTGGTCAGACTAAAGAAGCCAGTTTCCACTATTTAAAAGTGGGAAACCAACTTCTACATTTATACTCCATCACAATCCAAGCAGTACTAAGGAAAGAGACTTCTACTTCTCAGCTGAAAGTCAGATAACACTCTCCCTCAACAGGACCCTGCAACAAGGATAAAAAATAAATGTTCTTTTAAACCATTGGGCAAAATTATCTGAAGGCTGAACAGGATGCATATACCTTTAGTATATAATGGTACTAAGTTAAAGTCAAGCCCATATATATTTAATCTATGCATTCTACCTAAATTACAACTGCAATTCTGCAGTTCAAGAAATTAAAAAAATAATGAGATGAAAAACTATCCAATCAAAACAGTATTTGTTTTCTATTTAAACAAACTAAGAATAACTGCAAATATTAAGTAATTTGGGGCTCAGTTTAGAGAAAGGAGTTATTTCAGGATCTGCAATTGTGAATATCCATTCTAAGGGAGTATCCACGGTCCACATTTATTGTGATGTCGTGTGAAAACTATTTAGAAAATTGCAGACATTGGCAAACAACAAAGAACTGCCTCCACAACTCAAGCAGGAGAGGGTTAATGGAAGTCACCACTAATTGGCTACTCCATTTAAAAGAAAAATACTTGAATGAGGAACACACCCAATTGCATGAAACTGGAAATTTAACAAACAGTAACTTATACTTAAGATTTTTTTTTGAAAAGTTATTGCTTGCTAACAATGAATAAGAAAACTGACCATAACAATTACTGAAGACAGCAGCAAAAATGAAACCCCACCTTTCTTCAGAGAATCAATTCAGATTTGGAGTGTCAGACCGCTGGGACCAACGTCACAGCCTTTGGCCTGTGGAGGAGGAGGGGAGTACGGTTGTTTAAGGGAAACGTGAACTTTCCCTGTAAACACTTATTCATTGTTTGTATTTATAGTCAAAATTAAAATGCTGAAATTCATTAACATATGTAGTGCCTTTCTTAGCTTGGGGCTGACAATGATTTTCCATCACACGCTTAATAAGCTGATGTTGTGCAGTACTGTGATTTCAATGCTTCCTATTAGCAGAGCAGAACCATGGTAAACTAATTGGAAAAAAAAAGTAGCAATGCTACCTGTTGGGAACTACTGTTAACCTATGTAACAGTATAAATCTCTGAAGTGGTTACTGTGTTAATGAGAGACTGCCCAAGAGACAAACACATATCCTACTTCACAATCAAATCCTCAACCATTGTTTGAATTTAGCTACTCTTTACAGCTCTATTTTGCTACGTGAACCAAGGTATGGTGCCCATCTGGCAGAAGAATAAAATATATTTGTTTTCATACAAATATTTTGGTACATTTGTCCGTTCAAGTGCTGATGATCAATGCTGGCAAATGGGATACTACCCAACTTTTCGAAATCTTCTCTATTTGAGTACCAAGTCAAGAATAACATCAGTCAGCTTCATAACAAAGCTCTTTCTGTGCTGTCGCACAATATGCCTTAACCACAGCGTTTAAAACTAATTCTGCAGCTCCAGTGGATTTTTTTCCTCCATTTTCCACACTCAGCACTCGATGGGACTTGATGAGCAACCTATTATAAATCAATGCCAAGTTCTAAGAGCTTAGTACTAGTTCAACACTGGGCACTAGTTCAACAAAATTGGTCCAAAGCTCCTTGAGCCAGCAATGCCATTGGAACAGCCGGGCCTCTATTCAAATCGCCGAAGACTGAAGTCAATCAAGGAAGTTTGTAATTTTAAAAAAATCTAAAGAAGAAATCAATGGAAGGAAAACTTGTGATTGGATATGAAGTTTATACTCAGGACAGCTGATCAACAATGGGATTGATGACATGGTAACGAACTTGCTGACTTATTGCAAACTGTCAGAAGGGAATGGAAGTGGCTAATGCAAGTATATTGGGAATAACATAACAAATGAGGGGACGGCAAGGACGGCGGCTTAAACAAACGCACTTCATATAAATAATGCTCAGAGGTAACCGAACCCGCCTCTACTCTCGCTGTGGTTTTCGGTTCGAAAACGAACAATGGAACTGATAATGCCAAAACGCACGACCAAACCAAACCGCTGCCGCATTTTAACACAACAGTAGCCCACGCGTCTAGTACACGCTTCTAAGTGGCTTCTAATTATTCTGCATAAACTCAGTATTCACTCCCCGCACAGCTATTTCCAATGCGTCCACAGCAATGCCTTTAAACAAGATCATCACAATACAACAGAACAGAAATAGTTCAAAGTAGAAAAATGTTGCACTTTTTTTTCTTTGAAACATTTTATTTTTAGGACTGTTCAAAATATCTTGCCCGATATTTGCATGAGTAAATCCACTTTGGCTACTCTCTATCTACTTTCAGTACGTCCAGTCCCCAGTCAGCTCATCACTGTTTACCAACTTGAACTGCAGCGCAAACAATACATTGGTAATACGGGCTAACATTGCTGATCAGAAAGGCGATGCGTAGCACCAAGGCTACTTTGCAAAACTGTTGGAAGAACAACGGAATTCTGGAATACCCAACTCTATCAAAAATAACCAATCTTTCGAGGCGGCTATGGATGCAAATCGTAACTTGCAAACGAGATGCCAAAGTGAAAGTCTGGGTTACAGCACAGCTTTGTTATGTCAACAAAATCATCTCTGTCTCAATAACCCAAGCTTTTAATGCTACCCACATACACTGAGACAACTGCTGGCAACATGAGCTGCGCCCTCCCCGAATCTCCATTAATCGCAGTTGAAAAGCTCGATGTTATTGGAGTTTAAAATGCAGTTTAGTGCTCACTCTACATTGCTCTTTAGAAGTGCTGAGTGAAAAAAGAAACAGAAGGAATAAAGGTTGCCTCTTGTACAATAGCAATATGGTATGCGGATTAATTAACTTCTTTCGGCGTGAAATCATTCAAACTGTTTAACCTGAATTATTAGTACATTCAAGTATGCTTTCGTAGCATAGGCAATAAACGAAAACTAATCACATACGCGACCAATTAACTATCAATACATCCAAATAGATGTTTTACCAAAATTTTATTGCATCTTGCCAGCCCATCACAAGAATCTATTTACTACTACATGGAACATGTTTTCAGTAACTTAGCATTTCTTTTTCCAGTCTAGGAACTAGCAGTAACATTTACCTTCGGATGAAGTTGTCTTTTTCAGTATCTCAGACACTTTTAAATACCTGGTCATGTCACATAGCCCAATGAAAAGGCAGGACAATGTTTAGTCCTCCTCTTCTTTTTGGCCTCAGTTATATAAATGAGACTATTCACAAGATATTCAACATCTCAAAATGTGCTCACAATGTTAGCAGAAGAACTGAGTGAAAATAATTAATTTTATTTAAGGCCAATCTTACTTAAGAGTTGCCTGGAAACAAGTATTTTCTCTAACAAGCTTCTATAAGGTAGCAGCCACAATATCTAATAGGAAAAGAAGATAGGGCTGCAACTCAACACAGTGGGACTTTGAAAAGGATTAGGAAATGGATTAAGGCAAATATTTCACTTTTTCATATTTTCAAAACAATTTGTTTGATTACTTCCGTATACTGATTTTCTCCAAATCACTGTCTCAACTATTAATCAGTTTCATCCAAATATATTTAGAATAATGCCAATGAATTGCATTCCACTTGGTATCCAGACACTCAGATTAGGACAAATCTTCAGCAGTTGCAATGATAAAACCAGGATCATTTAGAACTGCAAAAGATCAGCAAAACTGAGGCATATTTATATAACTATTTTTGGCAGCACGTTAAAGTACCAATATTTAAATATATACACAGATATAATGATCACACAATTAGTGTAGTTAAGTAGAAATGTATTTATGTTCCATGTTTCAATGAATACTCTGAGCAATTATTTCAACGTATAAAACTGTCACATTTTAAACACTTTTAGACCAATCTATAAATAGTACTGAAAATTCTCCATAAAACAAAGTGATGTCGTTTGAAATTTACAATAATAATTGAAACATGTTTTGGCACGAATTACAGAGCTGAGTTATATCACTAAAAGACTCTTAGACATATGCAACTTATAGGTCTCAAAATCACCCAATTAACTTCGAAATTTGTCACATCCTTCAGATAAGTATAATAGATTTAAAATGTCAGCTACAAACCTAAAGTTGTGTGCTGTGAGCAAGCTGGATAAAAGACACTTGCACTCAAATCCTGAAGCATCCCGTCGCGATGAATCGAGGAATATAAACACTTTTTGCCATCAGAAAACAACACCTAAAGAACATCAAAGCTCGTTTTTTGGCACCATCGGAGCTCGGATGTAGCCTAGTGTCTTAATAATTCACGCTTAAAAACGTCTCCTGCAGCAGTGAAGATTGATCAAGTAAAATCATCGCCAGTCAAAACTAAATGGTGCTTTCAAACTTAAGTCTAGATGTCTGGATGGCTACAGATCTTCCCAAAAGCAGATGTGACTGTAAACTGGAAGCAATTTCTCCTAGTAATCTGTGATGACACTGGGAAGATCAGCCCTGAGTTCCCCAAGGCAGACTAATCACAGTCTATAATGTATGCATGACACATGAGGTGGCTCTTTTAGAGCTCAATTAATTGGGCTTCACGTTAGGAACGCAACTTTTAAGCGTCGCAATTGTTTTCTTTTCCTACATTTTTATTCTCTCTCCCAGGGCTTTGAGAGTTTCTTACCTTCTGCGAGCCAGGTTTCCTGTAGCTGGCTCAAATCCTGAAAGAGTTCTACAATGCAAAAGAAGAAGAAAATCAAAACATTGTTGCGTGTTGTATAGTGTTTATTTTTTAATCTAAAGTCAACAGTTCAGCCGAAAAATGCGTGAAACGGACTTAATCACCTCGAGTTACCATTCAGTATCCTTCAGTTGAATGCAATACTGTATACTCGGACGAGAAATTTAAACAGCAATATCGATCAGGTCTAAATCTCATGTAATGCTTGCTAAAGATCCCCCAACCCCCATCCACCACCAAGAACATGTCCAGGTTCAAAAACACTTTTTTTTCACGTATCATGTCATCATTTTAATCGGGAATAGGACACGGATCACCAGGATCCATTTGGCACAACAGAAAATTGAACGGTTGGATTAATTTAACTATTTTATCTATTATGCACAATCTCGGTAGATTAAAGAACGTTGCCAAACAGAAAAAATACGGAGTTTTATGGCAGATTGAATTAATGTACACAATAAGAAATTAATATTGAGGGGAGCTGTTTGACGACCTGTGCCTAAAGTTACTGAATATGTGAACTGACCATATTTGATGGTAAGATGTGACTATTAACCCACAACTACAAATACTAGTAAGTGGAAACGTCAATAGGTACTTTAAAGCACCTTCAATTAAAACAAAAACAAATTGTGGGCGATGGGAAGATAAAATGGACGGAATAAAGAATATTTCATCTTGAAGAAAGTTACCTTCTGAATCTTGAGCTAAATCTGTATCAATGAATTTCCTTTTCCTTTCACTTGTTGTCCTTTCACTACACTTCCCTCCATGTGGCTTCTATAGAATACAAAACAGTTGTTAAAATGTGGAGGAGCACACCTGATGTATGAAACGACCCCATCACACAATTCTGTAGGCTCTCTCCTGACTGAGAGACAGGTTCTCAAAACTCACTTTACTGCTTTCTAGCAAATAATAAGTGCAGGTTGATCAGCCTATGCACTTTGAGGGTTTAATTATTTTAAGTGAAATCCTGATGCTACACTATCAACGTGGAACCTGTATTTTCCTTTAAACAGCTTATGACAAAGCAGTAAAAGTTTGTGTTGAACAGTCTTGACTACGAATATTACATGGATTCCAAAACAATTAAGAAATATTATTAAACCGCAAGTACGTAGGAAAAGGGCGGGTTTGTTTGGAAAGTTGATGCATTTGTAAAAGTGCGTCATGTTGAAGACAAGGAATAGTAAGAGGGCCGAAGAAGGGCAAAAGTCGCATCTCCTGATTAGTTTGACACAGTAAAGTATGTTTCTTCGACTCGTATTTGCAACAGGACCCTGAGTCAACTGCTAGATGGATGTTGATTCCAGACTTCTGAAAACCTTCTGCTTACTTAAGCTGTGTAGTATAATTTGTCATAATGATTATATATTATAGCCTGGTTGAGCTGTGGTATAAATAAGATTTATATATGACGTGCTTCCCCAAACCCTGTTTTTTTTCCGGGGGGGGGGGGGGGGGTGGGGAGAGTGTGAAAGGCAGGAATGCGGGGGTATGAGTTGAAGTGAATTAAAGTCAAATTGAATTTTCTGAAATACTATTTATTTTCAGCTCGTGTTTTGTTATAAATGTTAAAAGGAGCTACGGCTAAGTTAATAATGATGTCTTTCATAAAGCAACTTTAAAAAAAACCCTTCCGTTTGCCAACTTCTTATGAACCCACTTGTCAGTTCACTTACAGGAGTTGTTATCATGTAAGGCACTTGCTGGTCGTAGTATCCGTCGATTCCGCAGCTCATCGCAAACTCTTAGCTCGTCCTACTCTTCAGCATTTAGATGGATAGACTGTGCCTTGCTGGACCCGGTCAGCCTACAACGACAGAAGGTGGCCAAAGAAAAATCTTGAATGGACCGCCTGAACTTGCATATTTAATTAGCCTTCAGCTCCCCATTCACAAAAAAAAATGCCAGACTACCGCCCCAACCTGTTCCAGAGAGATAGCGATCAGCCTGCAAACATGAACAAACTGCTGGGGGAAGAGCACAAAACTGATCCTCTCCCGGTACTTCGGACTTATCAGTGCGTATGCATTCGCATCGATTATAAAGGGCTTGCAAACGTGGTAAACACACAGTAAATTGGTAATGGCCGATCATCGTGGAATTCCCAAATGTTTTCCTTATATGCAGATAACGGGATTAAATGGAGAGCGTTTTATTATTAGTATTTCTGCAACGTTGTATCACGTTATGCTCTACAGGCTTGCAAAAGTTGAACAGGGTCTCACCTGAATGGGTGCAGAGCGATCGCATATAAATATTCCCGTCAGATTTGGTAAATAGCATGAATTAGTTGATGTAGAGTCCTTTCAAGGCAGCCCAGACCTATGATTGTGCTCAATTCACTCGTTTTTCCTTTGCTTCTCCTCCAGGGGCCTCCAGTGTTTTCTAATGGATCTTTCTCATTGGTCGCCTGTCTGTTTCATCGGCTCCAATTTCTAGCTGTCAATCACTCACTTCTGTACTTGATTAAAGATACAGGCTTCCTTTCTCTAGGACTAACGCAGGCTAGAATACAATTATTCAAAAAAGAGAGGTGGTGAAAGAGAGCGGTTAAATCAGTTAGTATACCAAATCCACTTCTATTCATCACACTTCTGAGAAAGATACAGACCCGAGACATTCAAAATAAGTTTCGGAGACATCATAGCTAACCCCAACATTATTATCTAAACATAATTCGGCATTAATAATCCATAGCATCAGCTACTCATATTTGATGGGTCCGGAGCAGATGCAAGACTAAACAAATAAACCTTGCAAAACAACATTGAATCCTTTATTCAAATTAGCCCTGCCTACCTAAGCTTCTGTGTTCTGTGATTTAATTCGGCACATCTGTCATGCAAGGACCAGATACAAATCAAACATGATTTTTTTTGACAATTATGCTAATTACCCGGCGAGAAACGCAACTAAAAAAGAACCGGTTGCAACATTTCTGACCCTCCCAGATCGTGTTTAATGATTATAAGAGTCACAAAAGCCCTGGCAACAGTGACGCATCCTGCGAAGCTGCAGATGTTTTATTTTTAAATTGTATAATTGCATTTGTTTTTTTTTAACCAAGTTCGTGGGGGGAAAACTTGCCTGAAGAAATCTTACGGCAGCAGAAGAATGCTGCTTTAAGAATTGCAACGCGAGTTTTTTAATTTAAAAAAAAAGTTTTGTGGCTGAGCTTTTTTAACTTCCTAAAATGTCCCCGTCTCTTTCCCACTGTTTCTTTAATATAATCTGTGAAACAGTTTTCAAGCTGTCTAATCAGGCAGGAAGAATGGTTACCGCAGCAACAGGGGGTGGCGCTTTGTGTATGACCAAGCTGTATTTGCATGGCTTTGCTGAGCTAACCAATGGTGCAGGCTGCTTTTCAATTGATTGATGTGTTTATTCATAGAGCAACAGTTTCCCTCCAGGCGAAAGAGCATGAGGGGGCAAAAACAAATAAAAAGGGACGATTCAAAGTGAGGGAGAAGGCGAATTCATTTCACCTGGAAAGAAAAATGCAGGCAACGCGTCCCTGACAGCAAGATATCGTGGCGCAGGGAATTTCATTCACACAAAAAAAAGTCTTAAAATTTACAGTCAGTCGAGAGATAAAAGAAAGCGAGGGGGCGGGAGAGTTCATTCACAAAAAAAAGGTCAAATTCACAGAGATCAGCCGAGAAACCTAGGGGAAGGAGGAGTTCATTCAGTAAACAAATCCCGAAGTTTGACTGGACTGGGGGAGGGAAGAGTTCATTCACAAAAAAATGAAACCCTATCCAGAGACAAAGCAAGCAAAAGTTACAATCAAAGCTTGTGAGTAAAATATGAAAGTCAACTCGTATGCGAATAGGAAATGGGTTTCTTTACATTAAAACAGAAAGTTTGTTGACAGAAAAAGCAAAACAAACTTATCTACATCTTTATATTCCATTTACAGAATGAACTCCTTTAAAGACTTGGTTACATAACATTAGATGCAGCCCAAATGTAATTTTTCCTTCGCCCCTCTCCGCGCCCCTCCTCCTCTGAATGTCAGCTATAGTTTCTGCACAGACTTGTCAACGTTTGCAGTTCCTGTCTCCATGGCGCTCATTAAGAGCCTAGGACACAACTGATTTCTGCCTCAGTAAAGTTTCCCCTAAGCCTCCATTACTCCCCTTTGCTGTTTGTGCGCATGTTTCAGCACATCTCTGGGCGAGGTGAGTCACTGTGGCTGATAGGGTGACTTCAGTAAACCGCCACAAATCAGCTGTTTTGCAGGCTCTACACCAAGTAGACTGTTGGTATTTCTGGATTGTCATTGCCTGTCTACGAGTCTACGCCTACACAATCACTGGTGCACAGAATCTGCTTACATGTTCAATTAAAATCAAAATCAGTTGTCATGGCTCAATGATTTGCAACCTAATAACATACTTCATTATGGCAGTACTTGAAAGGAAAATCTCTACGATTATGAAGCAATAGTTCAATATGGCCCAACCCCCCACTTATGAGAAAGACAAAACAATGGTACTTCACTCTCTGTTCTGTGGTAGTTTCAAGCTGTTTTCCCAGCATTTTGGTCCCTTATATTTCCAAATGTTGTCATTTGCTCCTTTTTACAATTTTTTTTCTGCTTGAAACAAATGGATCACAGCTTTCAGATTAGATGCAGTTCTGCTTTTGGAGGCAAGCAGCTTGTGCTGCCCAGATATGCATAAAAAGTTAAAGTGATGTGAGGAAAAAAACTTCACACATCAAATGGTTCAGTTCTGAAACACATTGCTTGGAAGTATCATGGAAGCAAATTCAGTTGAGGTATTCAAGAGGGTACTACATGATTATTTAAATGGGAATAATGTGCAGGGTTCTGGGAAAGGATGGAGAATGGCTCTATGTCATGACGCTCATTTGGAAATCTGGTGCATACATTGTGGGCTGCATGGCCTCCATTGACACTGTAACAAGTGACATAATGGGCTGAATGGCCTTCATTGCCGCGGTAACAATGCTATGCTTCTGTAAAAACAATGTATTGTCAGTTGGGCAGTAAAGTACATAAACCAATCTTTGACTTTTCACGTCAACAGTATGCTCCCTCAATGGACAGAATTATTGTTCCTCTTTGCCTGCTTCCACCAATACTGCCCCAAGAACTACCTCAGTGTGCAATAAACAAAAATGCCTCCAAAGACATAAATTCTCACTTACTAGACACAGAGCCAATATATTAGTTTTGGGAATGCACAAGTGAGTCGTGTAGGACTAGCTTGTTGTGTTGGCCAGTGGACTCTGATAGAGTAGGCAGGATAAACAATTGTTAAAATAAGAATGAGCATGTTTCTTAACGTGAGAGGGACACTTCGTAGCCAGGATAAGAGGGGAGAATGCAAGGAGAAAGAGGGGATATCATTATTGAGGGGAAATGGATGGGGAAGTATCATGACAGGAGAGAGACAGCGGAATGCAATGCAATGACTTTGAATTGAGTCCTTTGGGAGTAAATTGGCATTGTGAGAATGAATGATTCAAGTAAATACTGTATGCAAGACTGACTGTTGAAAAAGTTTAAAGATGTACTTGGTTCTTCATTCTACATTTTGTCACTAATTGGTATGTTGGTTCTTCTTAATTTAAATTGCAATGAGATGTTATTCTCGTTGAGGGATGTTATAGAAATACAAGTTGTTTGTGAAATGAACTTTGCATTAGTGCTTTTTGTGTTTAAAGTATTCTGTTTGGCATATTTATTTAAATGATTTTATCATCTTATAAGTAAACCTCATAATTACTGTTGTATTTGGCTATGGCAGCAGCTCATACATAGACCTGCCATTATATTCAGAGGCTTACCTTTAATGGTTCAAACATGAAGTGTTAATTTTGATTTGCAACAACTACTCTTCCATACATGTTAATCAATTAACTATGATTCTGTACATGATAGATCATCCTTACTTGACTTTGTCTTCATATTGTTGTTTTTCTATTTTCTGCTTTTGTCACTCTGATTCTTTGCTGTTTTATTTCCTGGGGAAGCATTGCCCTTTCTCCATTCCAGTAGTAATAGCTCACTGAAGAATGGTATTATTAATTCATCATTTGCACCTTATTGAATCGCTCTGATTTTATCTGATTTCTTCTGCTTTTCTTCTCTTTTGGGTATAAGGTGATGTTTTCTATAATGTGATAGCAAGGGAAAAGATCATCAATTGCAGCAGGCTGCACGTGGGATGGGATTCACAGAGAAAATGTGGCCCTAGCAATTCCATTCCCACCTCTCTCCCAATTATTTTTGCACCATAGTTAATTTCACGTTCTAACATCTCTGCCCTTTCTGACCAGCCCCCAGTCTGAAGGTTATTGCTATCTCTTCTCCACTGAGATGCCTCACAGGAAGATGTGGCATAGTGGTGACATCCCCAGATTAGTAAAGCAGAGGTCCAGACAAGTATTCTGGGAACACACAATTGATGGATTTTAAATTCAATAAATAAAATCTGGATTTGTAAACTAAACACAATAATGGTGACCATGGAACTATCATCGCTTATTGTAAAAACTCATCTCCATATGTGATGCAATACCCAAACAATGTGGATAACTCTTAATTGACCTCTGAAATGGCCTAGCAAGACACTCATTTCAAGAAAATTAGTCTGGTTAAATATACTGGCCTTGCTGGTGATGCCCACATCCTATGAAGAATAAGACCAAAAAATCTGTGCAAAACATGTATTCTCTACTCTCCTTCCTTTACTGTCACAACTTTTAAAAAAGCATGAAGAAAGTAATCATTATTCTGTATTTTTCACCCTCAGCTTAATAGTTGTTAGAGATTCGTATCTCACAGGTTTAAGTGATTAGCATTGACCTTTTCTAATTGTCAACAAAACACAGATGGAGATAATTAGTTGGCTTTAAAGCTTAGCTGATATTTTTTGAAAATTGAATATTAGCATAAGCAAAGGTACTCTCTTTCCTCCCTTAAGTTAATTCTTTCTCTCCCTTTATTACCCTCTAGCTATCCCTCTCCTCTACGTCAGCCTATTTTCTCGCAATCCTCTCTCACCTCGAAACTGTCTATTAGCTTGACGTATTTTCTCAAATTTTTAAACTACAAAAAAACATAGAACAGTGTTTAATTATTTTACAGCCATAGTTTCACACAATTCTCAAACAAATTCACACATACAACCCCTTAAAAAAAATTAATATAAATCTGACCTTTGAAATTTGTTCTGTTCTTCAATATCTATTGCTAGAAACTGAAGACAAAGATTGCATCAGTACTTTGGCTAAATGACATGGGTAAGAAAATAGGTACAGTAGTTCTGACTTCGTAGTTCTGATTTCATAGTTCTACTTCAACTCTTAACAGTCACAGGAAAAATAAAAATGTCAGTTGTAGGTCCTGCTGTTTGAAAGTAGCTAAAACGTTAAGGAAAGAATTAAAACACATAACTACAAATCGATAGATTAATGTAATCATGTTGTTTTGAAATAAATGTTATTTTCTTTAAACTCTTATTTTGCACAATTTGTAAAGATTTAATGAAGATTGAAATGAAATACAACTTCATTAAGTAGATATATTTGTGTTATTGAGTAATCTTTATATGTAGTTCTTTGTGCTTTTACTTAAATATAAAGGACTGCTGTTTCTTCCTGTTTCCAAATTAACATTGAAGCAGTGTGCCAATATGTCCACGTGACTCTAACATTAACATTAAGATTCTGAAGAAATGTGACTGGGCCCAAAATATCAACTCTGATTATTCTCCACAGAAGCTGCCAGAACTTCTGAGATTTTTGCAGGAATTTCT